CACTCATACATGTGTAGACTTATGAAATGCATTTTGAACTATTACTGAAACATTTCTATATTTGCCTCGGGTCCCAATGCCAAGAAGGCGGTGGCTCATGGGCCAATCTGGTGGAACATTTTTATGATGTTTCTGCTTGAGTATACTCACTTGGTATCCTTGGTGTCGCCTGTCACACCATGTCCTGTGGGATATCTGCCCATATCTGCTGGAGCATGTTTCGAAGTTCCTTGAGTGTCTGTGGAACACGTGGTTGACGTCGAAGGCGCCGATCCATTCATCCCACAAATGCTCGATTGGTGAGAGATCAGGGGAGCGAGCCGGCCAGGGGATGACATTCACATTGTTTTGTTGAAGAGAATCCTGAACAAGTCGAGCAATATGAGGCAGGGCGTTGTCATGTTGAAAGGTAATGCCTGGGCCATGACGACGCAAAAACGGTAGAACAACAGGGCCAATGATCTTGCGCTGTCCATTGAGATTTCCCTCTACCACTATCAAACAGGTCCTCTGTCTTGCTGTAATCCCACCCCATCCCATAACGCTGCCGCCCCCGAACCTATCTTCTTCCATGAAACAATGATTGACATAACGTTCACCTCGACGTCGGTACATTCGAATCCGTCCATCGGTGTGGCTGAGGTGAAAACGAGACTTGTCAGTGAATAGAACTTGTCCCCACTGCATGGCCGTCAAGCGTAGACGATGTCTGCACCACTGTAGACGTGTTTGACGGTGGTTTCCTGTCAAAATGGGATCTCTGGCGACAATCCCTGCACATCTGAGGCGACGACGTACGGTTTGTGAAGATATTCGTCGAAGGCCAGGGATGCTTCTTGCAGTCACTGTTGGTGGCTGGAATCGATTTCATAGGTGTGTTGTTCGAATCCAGTTGTCTTGTCGATTATCGGTTACGCGTGGCCTGCCACTCCGAGGATGGTCTCTGACTGCATTCGTCTGTTGCCAATGTTGCCATAAACACTAAATGGTGTTTCTGTGGACGTTAAATTGTCTTGCAACATCACGTTGACTCGATCCTGCTTCAAGCATACCAATGGCTCGCAGACGCTCATTTTCGGACAGGTGTGGCTTTTCGTAATGTTGAATAATTGCGTAATTTTGTTCTTTTTCTGAGTGGTGGTTGTCAGCACGATGCTAAACAATGCATATGGAATCCCGTTAACGCACATGTTATTATACTCATTTTTGGGTAGTGAAATGCATGGGGCTTGAAAACCAAACTTTACTTGTTTGAAAAATACACTAAAATATTGATGTCAAAGGAACTTTTGTTATTGAGTATATTTCTGCTGCTCAAATTAATCTTGAAAATATAGCCCCAACCAAACTCCATTCTTCTCCACCTTGGCAGTTGGTAAGATCAGAGGTGGATCTAACATTAACCAAATTAAAGAAATCTGATACAAACCAACTAATTTATCAACAAGAATATAATCAATTGAGAAACATATATGATACTTACAAATCTATGTTTACAGATGGATCCAAGGATGGTGATGCTGTTTCCAGCGCCACTTTCATTGGATCCAGGACTTTATCATTGTGAATACCAGATAATTGTTCCATTTTTACAGTCGAATCAAAGGCCCTATTAATAGCACTAGAATACATTAGTAAACAATCAAAGCATAAACAGTTTATTATATTTTCAGAATCTCTTCCATGTCTTCAGGCAATTACAATTCAGTCTACCAAATATCCACTTTTTATCGAAATTCTTGAATTATATAATGAACTTGCTACTGGCCAATACAACATCGTTTATTTTCCTGGTTACCATGTTGGCATCATAGTTAACACAATGGCTAATGCTGCAGCTAAAGCAGCACTCAACAAATCCGTGACACACTGATTACAATTAAGCCTGTCATAGGATCCTACATCAGGGATCTGATGCAAAAGAAGTGTGACACCCAAGTAGGTGTAAATAAATTACATGAAATTAAACCAAATATTGGTTACACCTACTTGGGTTGTCATTTTACGATGAGGTCATTTTACAATGATGTCGTATTGGCCATTGTTGTTACACCCATGAATATTTGTTGAAAGTTGAGGATCTTCCGTTCTGCATCCCTTGTGATGAAAGAACCACTGTCAAGCATGTCCTGCTTGACTGTGTTGATTTCTCCATCACAAGGGATAAATATTTCAAGGTTTCATCTAAAAGGTTTTTTTAAATACTATAAGTTATACTATAATACATTTAAGTTTTGTTTTTTAAAAGATAAAATTGTATCATACATTTGGTTAAAATGTTGTGTGTAAAATGGCGTTTTAAAATTAGTAGAATGAATTCATATCTTAAAATGGAAGTAGCTGTATCAGAGAGGGGGGTTAAAGTAGTGTAAAATTATTGTTCCCCTGAGAGGGTATCGTAAGTCCATGTCATTAAAAATTTTTTTACATCAACTACGCTTTTAAACGTAAAAAAATGCCATTTTAATTGTGGCACCATTCAGAAAGGTACTGTAAGACCCCAGTATGGTGGTCTACTTTCAGTAGCTAGCGATCTATAGCTCCTTTTTATCATGTATTGTTATGTATGGTGATATATTTGTATTGTTCTATACACGTTTTAAATATAATCTGTGAAATGTCTAGTTATCTCACTGTCCCTCGACGACAGGTTTTTATACAGTCTAAATATATCTATTTTGAATGTAGTCCTTTTTCTCGTCACGATATGGCTGAAATATTGCTGATGTGACGTTATATTTTAACTCACTCACTAGGATGTTTGATTGTTTTGACTTTTGGCGTTTACATCTGAAAGAAATTACCATGTACCATTACTCGTGTCAGAACGCCTAACTGCTTGTTTACTAATAACTTGTGAACAAGTGTATGAATTACATGCTTTTAATTGTAGTTCGCATGCATTGGTTGTCTATATAAGCTTTAAATTTTTAATCTAGTTGAATCTGGTTTAATTCTCTTTGTGTCCTGCTGTCTGATAAAGCACAGCATACATTTCTTTATTAAATCTGTGTGGTGGATAACATCATCAGATAACATTCTTTCAGTTCTCTGATTGGATGATCATGTTTGATAACCCCAGAAGTTATTTGCTTATTCATAAAATATGGTGATGTCAACATCCATGTGCCCACTCTAGACTTTGTGTTCCCAATACAAATGACACAAAGACCTATCTTCTATGCCCTTGGTGTAATGAAAACAGGAGGTTGCATTGTTACATATGCTTGGATCAAACTCGTTCTCAATGAACTATCCAATAAACCTCAGCTGAAGGTGGAGCCATGAACAATCTTTGATTGGCTATTCAGCGATATAGCATCCCATAGATACTTGATACAGGAAACATTATTTCACTGAAAATATCGGGAATTTTTTTACATTCAGAGCATTGATTAGGCATATAATACTGCTTACTGTTCCTAACATATTACGCAACTTGCAACGTGTTTGCAGCAGTACTTACGACTATGACCATTATGTTTTAAATGAAAGCCTTATTAGACCACTACTGTCACTTTGAATTTGGAAATGTCATTTTCAATTTGCCAGGAATCACCAGCAATTTCGTGGTTCAATGTGTACTTTTACTTCCAAGATAACACCTGAAAAAATAGCTATTGATATAAGGAGAAAAACAGGCTTTGGTTTGAAAGAGAAATGTGACTAGAATAATTTCTGGTAAGAAAAGGAAATGCATGTGAGAAAGAATACCTAGGATTTGGTCAGTAATGAATAGTCAACTCCATCAGTCAACTACATTTACCTGAGGTATAAAATAAATTGCAACAACAACCAACCCCTTTTGATGTATAATTTTGATCCAAACATATCCAAACACACTCATTATAAAAACGGTATCTAAAAATGGTGTAATATCTACCAACAAAAGGAGCGACTAAGTGTAGCACTAAACAAGAAACAAGCAATGTTCATCTGTCCCATGACCTCAGTTATGTAGGCCAGCTTTTATTATCTGGTGGCTTATCACCAGTGTTGTAATTGTTGTTATTACTGATATACATTATTGTCATCATGGCATTGTTTTGTATTCCTATATCTTCATATCATTGCGATATTGCTGTAAGATTGCTGATGTGAAGTACTTTCAAACTCACTCAGTAATGTTGTTGACTGGTAAATTTTGATTTGATCTAGTTTAAACCTATTTTATTATCCCCCGCCACGAAGTGGAAGGGGGATATAGGAATGGGTGCTGTCCGTCAGTCCTTCCGTCTTTTCGTCCGTCTGTCACATTTTGTTTCCAGAGCAGAAACACAAAAACCGTGAGAGATATCTTAACCAAACTTGGCACATAGATAGGTCTTGTGGTGAACTGGTGCCTTTTGATAGTTTAGGATTTTTGAAAACATTATTTTCGAGTTTCCATGGCAACAACTTTGACTTAGACTAAAAATGGTGGTAATCCTCTTTTCCGGAGCAGATTTTGAAAACCGTAAAATATTTCTTCACCAAACTTGGCAAATAGATAGGTCTACTGTTGAACTGGGGCTTTGTGATGGTTTGGGATTTAAAAAAAATTAAAATTTCCAGTTTCTGAGACAACGACTTTGACTTAGACTGAAAATGGTGGTAATCCTCGTTTCCGGAGCAGATCTTGAATACGTTAAAATATTTCTTCACCAAACTTGGCACATAGATAGGCCTAGTGGTGAACTGGAGCCTTTCGATAGTTGGGATTTAAAAAAAATACAAAAATTCGAGTTTCTGAGACAACGAATTTGACTTACTGATGTCGGTAGTCCTCATTTCCGGAGCAGAACTTGAAAAACCGAAAACCGTACAATATTTCTTTACCAAACTTGGCAAATAGATAGGTCTGGTGGTGAACTGGTGCCTTTCGATAGTTTGGGATTTATAAAAAAATATTTTTTGAGTTTCCATGGCAACGACTTTGACTTGGACAACCAATTTGATCTGCTTACGAAAACAATATTTGTTTTAGACATGCCTTTTTTTAGATGTTTTTTTCTTTGTAGCCATAATAGCGAAAGTAAAGAAGCCACCACCCCTCATCCGCCCATCCGTTTCTCCGCAAGCTGTTCCACCACAGTATATCCAAATAATGAAACAGGCTTGGTCTGAAATGCCAGAAATGAGACCAACAATAGAGGAAGTGTATGACCAGTTCAAGAAAATAACAGGAGGAAAGTAAGTAATTGACACTGATAGTCATTGGCCCAAAGAGTTGGAAGATGGCGTATCAGCAGACTCTCTTTTCTTAAAGCCAAAATAGTATAATGCACAGTTATTTTAACAATATGGCCTCTCATACATAGAGGATTAACCATTGTGTTCGGTTATGTTACCGAAAAATCTACACACGAGTGATTAATCTGTCACGATTAGAACGAGTCTTTGCCAAGTTCTAATCGTGGCAGATTAATCACGAGTGTGTAGATTTTTTGGTAACAACCGAACACAGTGGTTAATCCTTTTTCTCCCATAACAATACGCCATAAAAAGTCGAGCTGGTAGTTGAATATTTCCCTTGTTTAGTAACTATTTGGGATTCCCCCCAGCCTCGTTTTAGAATATGCTCAGTAAGACAACTGCACCATAAACAGGTAAAAAGGATCTAGCGAAGACAATCCACTTGAGTTTTCCCGTGACAGGCAAGCCACTTGTTAGCATTCATGTTATGTTTTTTGTTAACTATTAAAAGTTGATGGGAGTAACGTTTTGAGAATTATTAATGTGATTTGATATCTGTTAATGGCTTTGGATTACTCGACCCATAACTTTATTTGCATTCGTCTTGCCGTGACTATCATTCTCAATGCGCAACACTAAATACGTCCACCTTTTGAGTGTAGATGTCTATGTACATACATTATTCGTTTATTTGTCCGCAAGAAACTAATGTAATAAACCCAAATATGAGGAAATTAAATATTGTCTTTTTTGTAACATATTGTTAACGAAAAACAAGGGTCCAAGGAACTGTCAGCAGGATTGATCAGGCAAGATTCTATAATACCAACTCAGGCAACTGATCAGCTGGTTACTTCTAGGTAAATCTTCTCAACTCCATCAATGAATTGTAATATTTTTAAACGAAGTTTCGTCTTTAAAACTAATTTTACAGTGAATAATTTAATATATAAAATGATGATTATTTCATGTCATCTTTTTTTATTTTTGTTTTGTTTTGTTCCTGAACATGGTGAGCACATGTTGTTATTATAAAAAAAAGAGAGAAAATATTTACTAATTCAGTGGACAATTTTTCTTTTGACCATGATATTTAACATCATGACACCAAACATGTTACTAAATGAGTTATTTAATTTTCCCATATCTGTTGAATGACACAATGTGAATTTGACAAGCACAATACTTTATTGTGTGTGAAACATAAATACATAGGATATATGTAGACAATAAATTATCATTTCAATAGTTGCACAAATATTTACAACATTTTAATACCCTTGTAATATTAAGTTGTTATTTTACTGCTACAGTTACATCCAAACTTTTTTCTTTCTTATTTTATCAGATGTGAAATTAAGAAATACCGTATTTTCTTGAGTATAGTGCGCACCTATGTATAATGTGCACCCCCCTCTAGCAGATTCAATATTTTGGAGAAAAAAAATTTGAATACCAAGCGCAGAAAAAAAATTACACCGTACCCCTTTAGCGAAGTCCGGCAAACGAACAGGTGATGAGAAACTTGGTCAGTACAAATTTGAGATAAAAAATCACCAGACATGTTGATTTACCGTTTGAATTGTATTTTTCGTTCTGCTAGGCATTGTTTTATATCCAGGGATGAAGATTACCTTGTGTATTTTCTCGTAAACTAAGCCGGACACAGCAATCAGCTGTACACACGTTTTCTTGGAATCGTCCAGTGATTCGGTCAAGACACACCCAATGATATAACTTTACAGGATTTTAATGCAAAGATCTGCAAAAATTATATCTGAAACTATTTTTTATCAGGAATAATATATTCCAGTATCTTGTTAATTTAGATGCAGCTTTTACTAAACATATTTAAAATAATAATAACCCTAAGCGAAGCAGCAGTATTTTACATGGAACCAGTCTGACCAGTCACCGTTAAGGCTCCCTTGCACGTGATCGCGTGATCGCGAGAATTACGTGTTTACATAGAATCGTCCAACAAAAACAAATATGACTTTTAACGAGTCACAGTCTGGCATTTATGATATATGTATCCATTCTCTGTCAACTAAAGTTCGTTTCAAGGCGTCAATAGCGGTAATCTGACCGTGGTTGCTGTTAATAATGGTGAGTTGTGCGATCTTCCGATCGCTTCACACACAATTTCGCCGCAATTAATTAAAACAATATTAAAAGGAATTTCAGATATACAAAGAACACTTTTTATAGCCACACAGTGTAGTTACATGACTAATTTGCGAACTTCAGTATTGATTTGTTGACATGGTATTTCCGGTGTTACGTGCTCACGGTAATGTCTTTCCATGGGGGAAAAAACATCAAAACTCATTAATTTTGTATAATGCACACCCCCTTTTACACAGCTGTGTTTTTTGGAAAAAAAGTGCGCACTATACTCAAGAAAATACGGTACTGATTATAGGTAATTAAAGATTAACATTTTCTTCTTTTTATCATCTTGAAAACAAGACTCATAAGAAATATATATTTTAGTGACCTGTTCAAATATGAATTTTTTTTATATTGCTTGTGTTAAGAAATAAGGTTTATGGTAAATGTTATAAGATGACCTCTTGTTGGTCGTTTCTTCATCATCCATAAATTTGAGTTTTTCTTTACTTACCATGTTCTGAAAATTTACACATTACACCTTAGAATGATTTGAGGTGTCTGATTAAAATAGCGACATAGCTTTCCACTCTCAGGCAGCCAATAAGATTGTGTGAAAAAAACCACAACCACTGTAAACCTTGTAAAGGGAGCATAATACATAAAAATTACATTTCTTATTTTTTCATATGTCCAGTTTATCATTTAAAAAAATGCTGAATAATTATCATTAAAATTAAGCTAGCTATGCATATTGGGGTTCTTTATCTGCTATGATAATATAACAGTTGCATTATTAAAGGGTTTTTTCAGTAAACATGGTAAATAATAAAAAATCTTTGGTTTACAGAATATACATGAGAGAAACATAATTCTACATGTCTTTAATACTCTGTATTGTCTGTTAATTCTGAAAATAATTAACTGTGATATTGAGTTTCTACCTAAAAATGATAATATGAAATTAATTTTGAGATGATTTCATCCTATCCAAAATACCAAATATATTTTAAGATGCATAAATGTAAATCATTATGAAACAAATACCAAAAAGGTGCCCACCATCTTTATCTTCATCATTTTGTCCGCTCCCTAAAAGAAATCAAAGTAGCTTAGAAAAAAAAATAATACATTATTACTTTCTTGAGTTTACATAGATCTAGGTACCTAAACTTAATACATTCAAGTTTAAACATGGTAATGTTGTTTTTTTTAAATGAGTTTCTTAATTGTTTTGAAATAGTATGTTAAAATATTGAAGTCTTCAAGTTGAAAAAAAACCAAAACAAATAATTTTAGGCCAAAATAAATGAATTATATTGATCTGGATAAACTGCATCTGTTGAAAGGGGGAACAGCTGTTGTGGTTGAAAAACATCTTGGTCGTGAGATGTTTGGTCCGTCCGGCAAAGGTTGATCGTTTCCTGCATTAAAATTGAGTATTGCTTTTGATACAAGTTATTTGAGTGTTTATATTCTTTAAATATGAAATTTAAGTCTCGATTATTTTAATATAACTATGAAATATGCTTTTGACGCTGGGTTACAGAAACGATCGATCGGCTCAAGATCAACACTTCGATATAACGTGATATCTTTTATGTGGTTGATGGTTATTTTTTTAAAATGCCCAAAACAATATGGTATGTTTAACTATTTCATCAGTATGTTTACATAAATTAATTAACTTTTTCATTAGCTGTTTTATTAGTCTTGAAAACGCCCAGTAAAGAATCTACCGGAGTGGCTCACCTGGTCCTGTAATATCGATGCGGTATCTCGCTTCGGTTATCGTCTTCCAGTTCTGCAACTGAATCTCGTACACTGGGAAGCCGAAATTCTCTGATACATCTCCACATATCACATCCCTTCCTCCCCCACTAATTTATCTTTGGACACCAACTTTCGGAGATGGAAACATCGTTACTCAGGTTATGTTTTGACAGCTGTGTATTTCCTGCACTAGACGACCTCGGGAATCCCCGATCTAAAAATAGTGCCGTCAATTATTGTTAGCCAACCAATCAAAATGCAATGACACAGCTCTCCACTCTCAGCCAACCAATCAGACTGCGTAAAAAAAATGAACCACTACGATGACCACTGCTGGCGTTTGGAGATCAAGCCCTGTTATGCGAGAAAGTACAATGTCCTACTTATTTTATCAAAACAGGTTGAAACTCTTACAAGTTGTTTAAAGGTTTCATTAAGGCCATGAAAAGCGCACCTGCATTCTGTTTTATATCCCTACAAGTTCCCAAACTGATTCTAAATTTTTGAAAACACTTGGCAAACATTTTGAACTTTTGAAGTTTGTAAACTACTCTTTGGAAACTGGAAACTTTAAGAGCATTTGAGAAATGTTCTCTAATGTAAAGAGTATTGATATTCAATAAGTATTGTTTTATTTTTTAAATGACTTTTGTTTGAATGTCCCACTCAGGAGGTTTAAAACATAACCACAACTGGTTGATATTTCTTTTCCTGCAATGCTCAGAGCATTACCCATGGGAGAACAGTGTAGTTGTTAAATGTTTACATCAATAATCTTGTAAATGACTATAGTCCAACAGTTCACAAAATGTTGACACATGTTTAAACTATACTGAAATGCAAAAGAAACATCACCATGGATAGATATATGAGAAACCTTATTTGTCCAAACACTGCAATTGTACTTTGAGACATTAAAAAGATGAAACTTGGCAAAACTGATCACCAAGGTTGAAATTAAAGTGTCTTAATGTTCTTAAAGTGAAGCACAACACTAGTTTCTGAGAAAATGGCATCGCAAGTCAGTATCTTGTGTGTCCGCCAAGTGCATTGTTGACTGCCATGCAACATCGATACATGGAATGGATGAGGCGGCTGATGAAGGCCATAGG